GAAATTTCCCTCTATATATCTTCAAATAGCTTGTCCAACCTTGAGTGTGTCTTCTTCCCCTTCTGATAACCCTATGACCTCACATTAGTTTCTTCACATAATCCCCACATTCTTGTAGGCTTTGCTCTTCTCTTGTTCTCTGCTATCTCTGTGATGGTTTATTTAATGGAGGTGTTATCTTCAAGGTCTGAGATCTTCTGTCATCTAACCTGCTTGAGACTTTCCACTGATTTTAGTTCCTGAATTGATTTCATTCCAGGAGTTCGTTAACTTTCTTCATGTACGATTTCTAGTGAACTTTCCTCTCAGTCTGGAGCTTTGTGGGTTTCTTTGTGTTGGTTATTGAGTTGTTGTTGCAGGTCGGTGAGTGTTCTTATGATCCACATACGAAATTCCTCTTCTGTCATTTTAGTTGCCTGATTTGGATTGGTGTCTGTTTCTAGGGGGCTGTTGCTCCTCTTTGGGGGTGTGTTTTCTGTTTGGTTCTTCATATTTCCTGAGTTCCTTCCCTGATTTCTTCCCATGTTGATCAGTTGTTGTTTTATTCCTTTAGATTTTTGTTTGGGTATTCACACGCCTTGTTTAGTTTCTGAGCCGTTAGATGGTGTCTGTGGGTGAGATTCGACCATTCCCTGTGTAATGATTCCGTAGGTGCCGTGAAAAGGCTGTGCAGGATGCCGTTCCTGTCAGTAGGTGGCACTTGCTTGGAGGAACAGGCATTGGTGTTGTTTTTGTGTCCTGTTATCAGCTCTTGTTCTGAGTGGAGCTGGGTTGGGTAAGCCTGCCCTCAGGCACCACCAATGCCGTTAGCAGGGGTCAAAGTTCTGGTCTTTGCTTCCAGGAATAGCTGTCAGTGTGGGGCTAGAATCGCCCCGCTCAGCCAGAAAGTCTGCGTGTGAGGGTGGGGCTTTCTGAGACCCGCAGTCTGGAGCAGTCTCACTTCTTTCCACCCTCCCCAACTCCGCAGCTACTCCTGGGCCTCTGCCAGCAGGCCAGACCACACCCCACCAGGCCTCCTCGGATTGTGATGCCGGCGGGGAGGTTCCTTGTGCAGAAATGCCACCTGGGCTGGGCGTACCGCCTCCTTTTGGGAGGAGGATTGCCCTCTAGGACGGCAATGATCTGCCCCTGAAGGCACACACACCTCAGTAGGCTGTTCACATATATCCCTTCTGTGCCCTGGACAGTGGTAGACCTCGGTTCACGGGATCTGGTCTGCAGGTCCGACCTCTGGGTCCCAGAGTTCAAACACTATCCCCACCAGGGAGAGGAGTTCCGGTTCCAATTAACCCACAGGGAGCCCAAGCTGTGTGTATGTCTCTCAGCCTCTGAGTCGGCACCATTCTCCTGGGAACACCATGCCAGCAGCACCTGGGAGGGCTGGCGGGTAGGGAGCTCACAGTCTGAGTTCCCCTTAGTCAGCTCTAGGGTCCCAAAAGGGAAGGTCCCGTTTCCTGGAGGTGCCTCCGGCTGGTGGCTTTATTGTCTCTCTGGGCAGCCGCAGGTAGGGTCGGCAGAAGTGAGAAGGAGGCAATATGGCGCCTGCTGCACGGCTCCGGTCTGTGCACACGGAGGTGCCCGGAGTGAGTTGGGAGCCTGGTGCTGCGTCCACTACTGGCTCACCGCTAGCTGGCGGTGGCTGTCTCTGAGCTGGAGTCCGCAGGTCTCTCCACCTGTTGGGGAGCCCACCAGCAGTCCCAAATGCAGGGGAGAGGAAAGGTGACTTATCCACCTACCCTTCCTGCTGGTCTCCGGGCTGCTCTGGCGGTCTCAGCTTCCAGTTCTCCTCCGCAGCCTCCTCCCGTGGAGTCTCCCGGGGTCTCAGGTACCCCTCCTTCCATCCCTTGTCCACTGTATGCTCGTCTTCTTGCTTCTTTTTTCTAATTTTTGCTAGAATCTGTCTTTTCTGCAGAGACACTCTGTCTGGTGGTGTTTCTCGTCCTCCATCTTGATCCTCCTCCACCTTATAGTTCTTGAGACTAGTCCACCAAAATTTCTGGAGCCAGGATATGTTCCCTCTGAAACCTGTAGAGAAGTTTTTCCTTTTCTTTTCCTGGCTACTGGTTGTTTGCTGATAATCTTTGGTATTTCTTTTTTAAATTCAAGATATTATGGGGGTACAAACATTTTGGTTACATGTAATGGGTTTGCCTCACCTAAGCTAGGACTATAAGTATGTCCTTCCCCTATACAGTGTGTTTTGCTTCCATTAGTTGTGGGTTTACCCCCCCCACCTGACCAGAACCTAGTGAGTATTACTACCATGTGAGCACCTTAGTGTTGATGAGTTAATACCGATTTGATGGCGAGTACATGTGCTGCATGTTTTTCTATCCTTGTGATACCTCACTTCAAAGGATGGGCTCAGGCTCTATCCAGGATAATACAAGAGGTGCTATATCACCATTTCTTTTTGTGGCTGAGTAGAACTCCATGGCATACATATACTACATTTTATTAATCAACTCATGCATTGATGGGCACTTGGGTTGTTTCCACAACTTTGCAATTGTCAACTGTGCTGCTATAAACACTCGAGTGCAGATGTCTTTTTTATAGACTGTCTTTTTTTTTTTTTTCCTTTGGGTAGATGCCCAGTAATGGGATTGCTGGATCAAATGGTATTTCTATTTTTAGTTCTTTGAGGTATCTCCAAATTACTTTCCACAGTGGTTGTACTAGTTTGCAGTCCCACCAGCAGTGTAAGAGTGTTCCAATCACTCCACAACCACACCAGCATTTGTTGTTTTGAGATTTTTTGATAAACACCATTCTCACTGAAGTTATGTGATAACTCACTGTAGTCTTGATTTGCATTTCCATAATGATTAGAGATGTTGAGCACTTTTTATATGTTTGCTGGACATTAGTCTGTCTTCTTTTGAAAAGTTTCTGTTCCTGTCCTTTGCCCATTTATTGATGGGGTTGTTTGATTTTTTCTTGTTGATTTTCTTAAGTTCTATGTAGATTGTTGTTATCAACCCTTTATTGGATGTGTAGAAAGCAAATATCTTCTTTCATTCTGTGGGTTGTTTATTTGCTCTAATGGCAGTTTCCTTGGCTGTGCAGAAGCTTTTAAATTTGATCACTTCCCATTTGTTTATTTTTATTGATGCTGTGATTGCTTTGGGGGTCTTCTTTATAAATTCTTTGCCTAGGTTGATGTCTAAAAGAGTCTTCCCAACATTTTCTTCCAGAATTCTTAAGGTTTCGTGCCTTAGGTTTAAGTCTGTTATCCATTGTGAGTTGATTTTTGTGAGATATGAGAGTGGGGGATCTAGTTTCAATTTTCTGCATGTGGATATCCGGTTATATGCAAATAATGGTCAAGCCGAAAATCAAATCAAAGACGCAACACCTTTTACAATAGCCTCAAAGAAAATTAAATATTTAGGAATATATTTAATGAAGATGGGGAGATACATATATAGGGAGAACTACAAAACATTGAGAAAAGAAATTGTAGAAGATGTAAACAGATGGAAATCCCTACCATGCTCATGGATTAGTAGAATCGGTATGGTTAAAATGTCCATACTACCTAAACTGTTCTACAGAATTTATGCAATCACTATCAAAATACCATCATCATTCTTCCCCCCCCCCCCCCCCCGGGGCACCTCTGCCATCTTTTATTGAAAGGAAACAGAAGAGAACAATTTGAGAAGCAAGCTTAGATTGAACTGTGAACTTGTGAAATTTTTCTTTGGCATCACCTAACTTTTCTGAGAAACTAAATGGAAAAAGAAATAATATTTGATGAGCTGTGACTGTGTGCCAGGCGCCAGGGAATCAAAGATGAGTTAGGCACACTCTGCCCATAGGAGTTTGCACACTAATTTAGGAAGCAAAACATGTTTGTAAATGCAGTAGAGCCTCATGACAGCATATCCTAAAATAGGATGAATTACAGATGTAGCTGCACTGCCTGATTTGCTCACATCCTCTGCCAAAACAATTCCTCTCTTCTGCTGGGGGGTGGGAAGGGGAGGTGCCAATAGGAAGTGACAGCCTCCTAATCATCTGGGACCCAGTTCTGTAGACAGTCAGCTCTGTCCAGTATATGTCTTTTTTTTCAGCATATTATGGGGGTACAAATGTTAAGGTTACATATATTCCCCATGCCCCCCCCCAAATACCACCATCATTCTTTACAGATTTAAAAAACATAATTCTATGCTTCGTCTAGAATCAGAGAAGACCTCGTATAGCCAAAGTAATCCTAAGCAAAAAGAACAAATTGGGAAGCATCAGTCTGCCAGACTTCAAACTTTACTACAAGGCTATAGTAACCAAAACAGCATGTTACTGGCACAAGAACAGAGATCCAAGATATAAAACCATCTTCATATTGTCATCTAATCTTTGACAAAGCAGAGAAAAATATACATTGGGGAAAAGAATCTCTATTCAATAAGTAATGTCAAACCTTGCTGCGAATTCATGCATAAAATGGATTTGCTTCCACTATAGCTTTCAGCCCATCATTATCCACTTTGGTCTTAGGTCACCCATGTGGCTCATTTAAAATCACCAGAAGGTAACTTCTCAAAACATAGATGTACTGTATGGTCATTAGCCACCTCTTTCCAAACACTTCCTTAATATTTTGAGCTGTCTGTGCTGCATTGATTCCACGATGGGACTCATTTTTAACATGAATTTTTTACTTACCCATGGTTTCACAAAAATTGCTCTAAAAATAAATTTGAAAGATAATCACAAGCAAAGACATGCATTTGAAAGAATGAGGATGTACCTTCACAATAAAAATAAAATAAAAAGTGTCAAAGTGAAATGTCAGAGATATCAATTTTCAACCTTAGTACTTAAGGAAATTGGACATTCCATACTTAATAACCTTAATATAAAAAAGACTTTATTGCTTAGCCATCTTCCATACTACAATACATATTTTGAATTAAAAATACACATTAAGTTTAGATACCAGAAAAGAGTATAGAAGACTTAATAGAGAACTGAAATGATGATGAGTTATATTTGTCCATAAACTATTCCTTTATTGTCATATTTGAGAATTTCTTTGTATATAAATGACAATTAAAAGATTCTCAGAAGAAAAAACACTAGGCTGAATGGATTAACAGCTATTCGCTGAGCTGCTTTCCCCATTGGATTCATTGGGTTTACTGTCAATAAAACAGAATAGGTAAGAGCTCACTTTCATTTCAAGGGGAAGAAATAATTGAATCAATACTAAAATATTTTGATACATACCGCTAGGTAAAAGAAGTTTTGGTAACCCTAAAACAGAAAAAAAAGGTTACTATTAAAAAGTGGAAAGCATTAATTTGCTTTTCTGGTTTTTAGAATAAGATAAGCAACTAAGGAAAATTTAACTTTTTAACTTAAGAAAATGGAAGCTTCCTACCCAATCTCATAGGACTTAAAAGTCTTTATGATGCTCCCTCTAAAACGTGTCCTGTCAACAAATATTTCTAGAACACCTCTTGTGTGGAAGGCACAAAAGTCACAAGCAAAACTAGGAAGTAGCTAAATTTATTTCTGGCAGTCCATCATGCCCAATTCAAGTCCCTGAAAAAATGGAATTTCATGTCGAGTTTTGGGTACCAGAACCCTCTGTTAACAATCTCTTTCATTTCTGTGACCATCCTTGCTCCAAACACTGCTCCATATCTTTCCCACCTCAAATTCTTCTTCCAGTTTACCATGCTATGAGGATCCTGCACTTCTTTAGGAATCCATTTGCTTTTTAAATTCATTTATATGTTTTTCTGAGTTTCAACTACATATTGAGTATGATTCTAGGCTGTGGATATAATGATTATCAGGAAAAAATAAAGTCCCTCTCATTATAGGAAAGTTATAGGAGAAGAATCTATTATCAATTTTTTGAGTTGAATAAATAAATAAAATGAATAAAAATGATAATTTCAGAGAATGATAAATGCTATGAAAATATAAACCAGACTAAATGATAGAAAATAATGAGGAACTTAATTATAATGATAGCTAATATGTATGGAGAATTTACTTTGTTTTGTGCTCAAATAACTTTGCATAATTTATCCTATTTAATCCTCTTATTCACCTCTTGAGTTAAGCCGTCTGACTCCTAGACTCATATATTTAACCATTATGCTGTATATCCAGACTTTCAAACAATAGAAATCAACCAAACTAAAACTTGTTTTCTTATAAAGACTGATTAGGCAAAAAGAGAAAAAGCACAAATCAAAAGCCATAGAACAAAAATAGAATATAACTACAAAGAGAGCACAAATAAAAATATGAGAATTTTTTAAAATTTGCATAAAACAGAAAATTTGCTAATGTTTCTCCCTAACCTGAATATTCCATAACCATCAAAGAAATTAAGTCAGTAATTAAAATTTATAAACACATAATATACATGTGAATTATAAAATGAAATGGTTTTATAGAAAATGTCTCTCAAACATTCAAAATTGAAATAATCAAAATCTTATACAAACTGTAACCAAAATATTAAAAGAAGTAATATTCCCAACTGCCAAGTTTTTTTTAATGAAGTTATTACAATCTTGATGTCAAAGTCATATAAAGAGAAATGAAGATGGAAAATTATAGGTCAGTCATAATTCTAAATTTAACACAACAATTGTAAATAAAATGTTCACAAGAATCTATTCATCTACAAAATAAACCTCATAACCAAACTGGATTTATTGCAGGAATGAAAGAATAATTTCATATTGGATTACTGAACCAGCATTTAACTCTTGGTACCTTTTGAAATTTTACAGCACAGCTGTGTTGCATCAGAAATCCTTTGATATAGTTTAGAACATTAAGACATTAAAGGGAAAAAATTAGGATCATTTCAAGAGATGCAGAAAAAAAATACTGTAAAAATTTAGCATTCACTCAAGTAAACAACTCTTGGCAAAATCATGAAAAGAGAAAACGCTCATAACCTGGCAATGATGACCAATTAAAACAATCTAAAATAAATATACACAATGGTGAAACATTGTCTTTAAAGTTAGGAACAATTGAAGGTTGTCCACTATTACAGCTTATGTTCGACATTGCACTGCAGAATGAACTATTAATACTAATAAAATAAATAATGTATATAAAGATTAGAAGTAAGAACAAAGCTTGCACTTTTTAATAGAAAACATGGTTGTCAATATAGAAAATCCAAGAGAATCAATACACTATCAGAAATAACAAGAGACTTTGGTAAGATTCCGAATAATAGACTAATATAAAAAAGCATTTATATTTCTATAAACCAGTAAAAATCAGTTAGAAAATATAATTTTAAAATATTTATAATAGTAACAAATATATGTCACTGAAAATTCAATTTGATATGCAAATTCTTTACTGAAAAAAATTTCAAAACTTAACTGAAAGATGTCTAAAAAGACCTAAATAAAGCATTTTTATTAACAGAAATAGTCATTGTTGTAAAGATGTTGATTCTTCCCAAATTTATGTAGAAATTCAGTGTTTAGTCATGCACCACATAATTATATTTCAGCCAATGACAGACCACATATACAATAGTGGTGCCATGAAATTATAATGAAGATGAAAAATTTCTATTGCCTAGTGGTCTTGCCTCACACCCCAAAGCATTAGTCATATGTTTGTGATGCTGCTGTTGTAAACAATCTACTGCACTGCCAGACATACAAAAGCAAAGCAGTATAATTATAATAGATACAGTACATAATACTTGATAATAATAGACAACTATGATTTATGTATTAATATTTACTGTGCTATATTTTTACCATTATTTTAGAACATGCTCCTTCTACTTATAAAAAGAGTTAACTATAAAACAGCCTTAGGCAGGTCCTTCAGCAGCTATTCCAGAAGAAGGCCTTGTTACCATAGGAGATGACAGCTTCATGCATCTTATTTCCCTTGAAGACCTTCCAGTGGGACAAGATGCAGAGGTGGAAGACAGTGATGCCGATCATCCTGACCCTCTGTAGACCTAGGTAACTGTTTTCGTCTTAGTTTTTAACACAAAGGTTTAAAAAGAGAAAATAATTAGAAATAGAAAAAAGCTTATAGATGAGGATATAAAGAAAGAAAATACTTTTTTACAGCTATACATTGTGTTTGTGTTTTAAGCTACGTGTTATTACAAAGAGTCAAAAGTTTTTAAAAATTAAAAAGTTTATAAAGTAAAAATGTTATAGTAAGCTAAGGTTAATTTATTATTGAAGAAAGAAATTTTTAGAAATAAATTAATGATGCCTAAGTGTGCAGTGTTTATAAAGCCTACAGCAGTGTACACTTGTGTCCTGGCCTTCACATTCACTCACCTCTCACTGACTCACCCAGAGCAACTTCTAATTCTGCAAGCTCAATTCATGGCATATGTCCTAAACAGGTACAGCACTATTTATCTTTTATACTGTATTTTGACTGTACCTTTCCTATGTTTACATATGTTTAGATACACAAGTACTTACAATTGTGTTACAATTACCTAAGGTATTCAGTACAGTAATGTGCTGTACTGGTCTATACCCAAGGAACAATAGGCCACGCCATATAGCCTAGGTATGTAGTAGGCCGTACCATGTAGGTTTGTGCAGGTACACTCTATGATATTCACACAACCACAAAATTGCCTAATGATACATTTCTCAGAACATATTCCTGTCCTTAAGCTATGCATGACTGTAATTCCAACCAAAATTCTAACTAGGTCTTCTGTGGAATTAACAAACTTATTCTAAAATTAATTTGTAAGAATGAAGGACCAAGAATAGTCAAATAATTTTAGAATAATTTGGAAAAAGAACAGGTTGGGAAAACACCTCCAAATGGGCATCAAACTTATCGTAGCCTTTGCAGTCTCTCTGGTGCTGTCTTGGAGGCTGCGGCCAATGGCTGCTCACGTGTCCTGGACAGAGTAACTTGTGACAGACAAAGGCTCTCAGCAGGCACAACTGGAAAATCCGAATAAAATACAACAAAACATAGTTTAAGAGCATCAGAGATTTGCTAAGGCAACAAAAGCTAGAGGCACCAACACTGCAGAGCAGGAGATATGCTGATGTTGTGAAAGAGGCTTTTTCCTGGGACCCTCTGTTGGTCCTGGACTCAGATCTAAGGCTGAAAATCTGGACTCTGCCCAGCTAGAGGCAAATTCTCGAGAAACAAGGAAACCAGCAGAGTTTTGGTGGCCTTGAAGGGTACAGAGACAACACTGAAGAACAGAGGGGTCAAGATCCAGGTAGAGGAGGCAGGTGGAGAAGTGAGCCTGAGAGTTTCCCATTTTATACTCAAGTTATTAATATTTGCTTAATTTTGAAACTATGAGGGGCAGAATGCTCAAAACCTAGGCTCAAAGGCTCTGGAATGCAAAATAGTTTTCAGGAACTTCAGAGTACTGAAGCAGTAAGGATTGGAGTTCAGAACCCACCGGGGAGAAGGCCCCAGTGACCAGGCCAGGCTCTCGCTGAAACCGTGCAGGTCTGCACCCTCTGGAGCAGGGCAGCGAAGGCAGACTAGGCAGACAGATTCTAACCCAGACTTAACCAAATGGCGTTTGGATTAAGTTGAACAACCCTGACTCTAACTGTCCAGCAGGGGAAAAGGCAGAAACTTCTACATTTTTGTTTTATGTGTGTTGTTAAGGGTTCGCTAAACATTCAGGCATACCAACTGTTTCCATGATCTGCTGCTGTAAAACAGACTTCTCCAAAATGTAATGGCTTAAAACCCAAACAATGTATTAGTATTTCTCACAATTGCAGGGATTCCTGGCTCTGCTAGGTAATTCCTCTGCTATATGCAGTGTCACAGGTTCGATGTCATGGCTACATTTACCTGGAGCTCAGTGGGGTTGAACAAGTCCCTCCCTTGTCCACGGCCATTTTCAAAGTGGCCTTTTCAGCAGGAGAACATGGACTCTTTACATGCTGGGCAGCTTCCGACAGAGCAAAAGCCACAGCTGCCAGGTCTTCTCAAGGGTAGACCCAGAACTGTTAACAACATCAAGTCCTTATTCAAGGGGTGGGAAACAGGCTTCCCTTCTTGATGGGAGGATTGGCATGTACTGGCAAGGAAAGGTTGGGAGAAATTGTTGGTGGCCATTTGAAGACAACTCACCACACCAAGAAACAGGATACTACCAAAACCAAGAGAAAACAAAAGAAAACAAACTGGAAACTAGAAACAGACTACAGGTGATCCAGATGTTGAAGTTTTTAGAAGGAGGTTGGAGTATTTGAGGGTGGTGCTAACAGAGCTTAGGGTGTCAAAGAGAGGTACAAAAGGTATTATGAGAGAGAGACAGCACGAGCCAGATCATGTTTGGCTCGTCAGGCACATGGGATAGAATCTGATTTTTCCTTAATTGGAAATAAAAAGCAATTGAAGGATATAAGAAAAAGTGATTTGATCAGACTTTTTTTCTGTAAAACAATTTGGAATGCAGTATAAGAAGAGAAGTGGGAGAGACTGCACTAGTTCAGATAAGAAATGTCAGTGGCCTAGATACTGGCAGGAAAGAAGTGAAAACAAGGAATTTGTCATTGTTATCTTTACATCCCTTTAACTAGGAAGCATTAGTTTGCCAACAGGAGGTAAATGGTAAATTTATTTTTAAAACTGCTTTGAATTAAATCTGAAATTAGAGAGACCATACTAATACATTTTTAATGGAAGTATAATTTGGATAGAGAAAAATTCATTTCTCATAAATGGAAAGATTGATGAATTATTACAAAGTGAGCATACCTAGGTAGCCACAGAATAGGTCCAGAAAGTTCTTTCAGTGTCCTCTTCCATTCACTAACTCCTCTTTCCTCTCCAAATGTATCCACTGTCCTCACTCCAAACATTAATTATTTTTGCCTGATTTTGAACTTTATATAAATGGAATCATTTAATATCCATTCTTTTGGGTCTGTCTTCTTCCATGGCACCACATTTCTTTTGTTTCCTTACAATTTCCAAATTGTCTACTCTCTGTACCCTTTTCACTTCGGCCTCCACCACAAGTTTAGATATTTACCCTTAAAAAGTATCTTGGTTTTGAAGCCAAAAAGCTGGTGATGGAAAAGAACATGTTAGTTTTAAGTCACAATTAATTTGGACATTGATTAATGTATGACTTCTGAATGAGTCACTATTCTTATAAAAACTAATAAAAGGCAGTGAGTTAAAAAAAATACAAGTAAGAAATATGTCAACCAATCGTATTTTGGTGGCAGCAAACTGGATCACAGTTGTACTTCATTCCTTTCCGCTCTTTTGTTTGAGAAGGAAAATAATCAGTGACAAAAACAAGTTATCATCTAAGTTTAACTGCAATAATTTATGACAAATGTTTTATACAGCAGCAATCAAATCTTATCCATAAATTATAAATCTGAGAAGATAAATTTGAAAAGATAATGAATTTCTGGAAACTTTACTGTCCAAATAAAGGGTTATGATTATTTTTTTTCCTTTTTGCTTACTACAGAGCTTCGTTATACATCGCTCCTTTGCCGAGCACAGAGAGCAAGGTTCTCCTCTTGTGTAAGGGGGCATATTTGCAAAATTTCCTCTGCAAAAGAGAGAAACATTTGTTAGAAACATTAAATGGCTGTTACTTTAATTTTTCTAATTTTGTGCATTCATTTACGCAGGTTGTTTTTGTTAGGTCCGGAGCAGAGAGAGAGAGAGAGAGAGAGAGAGAGAGAGAGAGAGAGACGCTCGAAGCCTCAGGTGTAACAAAATGCCGTTTATTTTGAACATCTGGGTGCAGATGGGTGGAGGCAAAAAAAAAAAAAAAAGCCTCCACCACAAGGTAAGGGAAAGTTTTATAGAGGGTTTTCTCGGGGGAGTGGCTAACACCTGTAGAAATAGGGGAGAGGGCAGCGTCAGTCCTCATGGCTGGGGGGAGGTATTCGAATACCGGCCTCGCTGCAGCTGTCTGTGGTCAAAGTTAGATTTATGACCTTGGACTCTCCAGACTTCTGTGGCTTTTATTTCACGACATTATGCTCACTATCTAAGTATCGCGTCCTACGCATAGTTTTTGGGTTCCCATCCTAAGCCAGCCTAACAGCTTTGGTCCTTCACTAAGTCATAAATGTTGAAAAGGAAAAGAACAACCTTTGTCCCAATTTTATGCTCATTTCTTTTGTAAAAAGAAACTGTTAATACTGTTCTTTACAGGATATCCCTAAACCATGTGACAGCTATATTCTTAAATAGCCCATAGAAGACAAATTAGATGTGACTTCAATGTGATAGCTACAATGTTTTTGTCATAGACACTATAATTATTTCTTCATTTTGCAAATGGAATAAGTGAAATTTAAATTGCGAATGAAAACATGTGCTTTATAGTTTAGTTTAAAAATACAAAGTATAGGATGCAGTGGCTCATGCCTATAATCCCAGCACTTTGGGGAGGCTAAGATGGGAGCATCACTAAGACCAGGAGTTCAAGATCAGCCTGGGCAACATAGTGAGACCTTGTCTCTACAAAAATAGAAGAAAGTACAAAGAACAGTCTTTATCTAGTTCTATTTGATGATGTACCAAAATGCCTACTTTTCAATAGTAGAAGCCAATATATTTTAGCAAGCTTCACTTTTTAATCTCTGTGTCTGTGGAAAACTTAAAACTTAAAAACTTATTTACCTTGATTAAACATAGAAAAAGATAATAACATGGGTAGTATTCCATTGAAGAATATGCCACAATTTATTTATCCATTGATGGATATTTGGGTTGTTCAAATTTTTTGGCTGCTACAGATAAAGTTGCTGTGAACATTTTGAACATTCATGTGTAAGTCCTCATGTGGGCACAGATCCTTGGGGCAAGTTGAAGGGGATGGTGAGTCTTGGAAGCAGGAAGTCTGCCCAGGGTCCTTCAGAATCTCAACTCCTTTGCCTTGCAGAAAATCCACCATTTCTGGGAAACAACTCAAAAGGTCAAGTATTTTAGTTAGGGAGAAGATTATAAAAATGTATTGGGGCCATTGAGATTTGTTCATGGAGCCGGTTATAGGCTCTCCATGGCAGAGGTTGAGAACTTCACATTTAAAGGGGAAAGGGAGTGCACAGGACAAAGGGAGAGGTGAAGGAGGTGAGCAGAGAGGTAGTTGATAGTGAAGTTCTTGTGAAGTTCATTTGGTGCCCAGTAAATCTATATAACATAAGATGAACATTCAAAAATCAGGTTAGAGGAAATTGTCAATGTTGTGATCTTCTCGGGGTGGGTAGAAGAGTGATCATATCTCTTCCTTGGTTTGCAACTATGCAGATAAATCTGTAATTGACATTTCAGAGTTTATTTAGGCTACAGTCCTAAGGTTATAACTGACATACACTCATTTTATAGGGACTGTGTGTCTTGAAGGGTTTTTATGGCACCCTTAGCTGCCTTTCTCCAACTCAGGGAATTTAGAGGTAGAGCCTTAGTTCCCTCTCCCTGTGCCATGGCCTGAAAACCCTCTCAAAGTAGTAAGCTGGGCCGATTGTAGGGCTAATTTTTTTGGTTTTGTTTTCTGTTTCCCAGAGATCACAGACCTTCTTTTATGATAGCCAGTGTCTTAAAATCTGTTGTTTTGTATATTTTGTCTGTTTTCTTTTTGCTGTTGTTGTTTCAGGCAGTAGAGTATATTGGCCCCCATTATTTGGCCAGGAGTGAATGTAATAATATCCTTTTATGCTTTCAGACCCATAAGAAATCTGTTATGTAAATCTGCCAGATTTACCTCTAGATAATTTAATTTATATGCTGCTGTTATAAGTGGTGTTGTGAAGTTCATTTGGTACCTAGTAAATCTACATAATTTGTCTGGACCCCATACCTGACTTATTCTAGGTATCATGGGGCTTTAATTGTTTTTTCATCAAATTTTGACCTTAATCTCCAATTACTTATTTTTCTCTTTCCCTTTTAAATTCAGTGATTAGTCTCCTTAAGAGAAAAGATGGTAATAAATGTCAGCAGTTCTACAATTCCTCTGGAATTTATAAAAATTGTACTCTGCCCCAAGCTTTAAGGCTATGCATCTGTCATTCTTATTTTGCTTCTAAGAGATAATGGAAGAAAATAGAGAGAGAGAGATAGAGATACACATTTCTATCTCTGCATAGTAATTTTTGGCATATCTCAGCTCATTTTTGCTAGTTCTGTATATTTATTCTTTGTCTTTAATTTTATCTTTTGTACAATTTTATTTTTAAATTTTTTTTTGTTGGAGAGTTGGTTATGAATTGTTTTTATTTTCTTTCTTGTACAGATCCACTGGGATTAGAGTTCCAGAATTGTATTTTTGGTGACTTTCATTAGGCTTATGCTATATTTCCAATTATCAGAAAGGCAAATAAAAATTTTATTATTCTTTTCTTGGGATAATGTACTTTTACCATCATTCTTCATCACTTTCTCATTCCACTTGTTATATTATATTAGAGAAGCATCTGTTGTAACAGAGAAAATGGCCTGTGAAACAGTAAAAATGTTTTCTGTCTCTTCAAAATCCCTCACCCTTTTTGAGAACTAAAACCTACATCTCTGCCTCAGGCCAGTGGTTAGGAGCGGCAGAAGAGTGTCCTTTGTTCTTTGTGGCACAGGAGACAGCTCCAGGGAATTGCCTGGCAGAGGTCATAAGATTGTCTTAGCTGAACATGGTGGAGGCCATGAGGTTGTTTTAGCCAAAAATGGGACTATGGGAATGATCAGAACCTTTAAAAGCTCTGTACTCTTGCTCAGGAGGAGGATGATACTTTGAGATGTGAGTCTGACAACCTCCTCATTTGCTGGCAAATTAATAAATCTCTCTTTCCTTCTCTTCAAACCACTTGTCCTCATTCTTCAGATGCAGGCTCCAGGACAAGTGCCAAGCTTTCAGTAACACTGTCAACCTTTTTGTGTTCCAGCATTTAGATATTATTGTACCACTGTATATCATTTCCTCTCTTTTTTACATAACAATATATTTTTCACTTTCAAGTTTAAATATCTTATAGGTTATAGGTCTTCTTTATACAAGGCAATATTCTATTACCATCTTCTGTTTTCACCTATTTCATTGTATTAGCATTGTAGAAGGAGAATTTACTTAACAAAAATATACCTGTCTCTAGTTTAAGATCCTTTTTTGAAACAGTTGTTAATATTAATGTCAGTTCAAAATATTTTTTAAGAGCAAAATGACTTACGCAGGTCCATAGTTGCATACAAATATTGCAGTTGAAGGTCCCCCAAGGTTAGGACACATTGTAGCTGCACAACCAACGTTAGATGATTTGGCCCAAACTAGCTATAAGAAAAGCAATTTTAAAATAAAATATATAAAACAATTCTATGTAAATAATGCATTGTGGGAATACATATAATCTCTGTCATGCTATCAAAATATAATGTACAAAAATATTTATTGGCTACTTTTTATAATTTTCAATATTTAGTTTAAAATGATTATTTCATTAAGGCTACCTTTGTGAGGGCTACTTAACTAGTTTTTCCTCATTGATCATTCTCATAATTCAAAAAAAGAACATAAAATATAGCCCAAATCATAATATAATACATAGCTAAAATGATAATTTGTTCTAGATGATTTGTGAAATATATTTTAATTTTCTCCGTGAGCTTATCATGCAAACAGCATTAACATCCAACTACAAATGAAAACAATAACTCAGTTTTATTTGCTTTTCTCAGGAAAATGTTACAAAGTTTATAATTACATTTTTAGTTTTGTTGTCTTAACCATATTCTTATTTTGTCAAGTCACAAGAGACAAGTAGGGATTAAAAATATGTTGAGTTAATTAAAAAAATATTCCTCCCATATAGATGGTGAATCTTTACTTTTATCTAGTTGCAAAGAATAGCAAAGCTATTCAAAAGGAAGAAGACAGCCATGGGAAACTATCCATGGAGAGAGATAAAAAGGTGATGAGCATTACTAGTCCTTTGTGACAATGATAGAATGAAATTTTTCTTAATTTTCCAAATGAATAAAGAGGCAAATACTGGTTTATTCCATCTGAAAAATAATCCAAGGGTATTTAATACAGAATAGATTTTGACAACAAAAATACATTTTTTTTTTTTTTTTTTTGAGACAGAGTCTCGCTTTTGTTGCCCAGGCTAGAGTGAGTGCCGTGGTGTCAGCCTAGCTCACAGCAACCTCAAACTCCTGGGCTCAAGCAATCCTCCTGCCTCAGCCTCCTGAGTAGCTGGGACTACAGGCACGCGCCACCATGCCCGGCTAATTTTATATATATATATTAGTTGGCCAATTAATTTCTTTCTATTTTTATAGTAGAGACAGGGTCTCGCTCAGGCTGGTTTTGAACTCCTAACCTTGAGCAATCCGCCTGCCTCGGCCTCCCAGAGTGCTAGGATTACAAGCGTGAGCCACCACACCCGGCCAAAAATACATTTTTGAAACTTATTTATTTTTATAGCTCTGTTAGCAAAATGTAATAACCTATTTCATAAACTGATATATTAATCACTTTTTATCATGGTCTTGATTTAGCCAGAGTCAATAGTTTTCTAAAAATATATTTCAATAGCTCTTTGATTGCCTAAGATGTAGCAAAGTGCAATGAAAAGCACAGTGGACTGAAAATTAAGAGATGAGCTTTGCTTCCAATCATGTGTGTGGATTTGGAGAGTGACAGATCAATTCTGAACTAGTTTACCATTTAATAAAATGAGATTAACCTGGATCATTAAAAGATTCCTTTCCTTTTGAATTTTTAAAAATATTGATAAACAATACAACTGCCAAGTATATATATTTTCAAGAAATCATGTTTAACCACACTATGAAATTCTATTTGCTTAATGTAACTAAATTGAGATCTTTCTTTGCCATTGAGAATGGTGAAAATAATTATTGACTATATGTAGGCTAAAAATATACTGCTTTCATTAAAGGAACTACATGTAACATCAATACAAATATTGGATGTAACTCTAAAACAAATATCAGTATATAGTAAATGCAAGAAAATTTACCTTATTTTGTTTAGAACATCAAGCAAGACATAATTGTTGAACTTATAAGAAGAATGCACCCATTCATAATTCTTTGATCTTATGTACAAGTTAGCCAATGAAGAGAAGCTCCCATTTCTGATATAGCAATGTTAAGGGACAAGGGGCACTTGGGAACAAGTTCCTTTATCCTTAACCAAAGAGAAGACAAAGGGTATATAGAGGTTTTGACTCAGCCTTGATGCCATGTTAGTGATACTGTATTCTGCTTGCTATCAGGACACCTGACACCTGATTCATTCTCTGTTGCTATTCCCAGCAATAGCCAAGCCATATTCTTTACCCACAGTCTCTGTCCTGATGTCTTGAAGGGTGTTCAGACTTAAAGCATCCTGTTACAGAACAAAGAGTGAACAGAAGAGGACGTGGAAGCTGCTATCCTTTGTTCACTGCACCTGTGATAAAAATGACTCACTTTAAGACACTATATTGTAATTCAGCTCATACAAATGGATAAGTTTGGAGAAGTGAGCTATTTCTGTTGCTTCAACAGGCCTTCCTAGGAGCTCAGTGCCATGTGTAGGATTAAATCTTGGCTAAAAAGGGAATTCTACTTTTCACCAAAAAGGAGTAGCAGGGACACATTTGACTTCTATCTGAAACAAGGAATTGGGAAAATTATAGGAAATAATTGTTTCCAAGTTACTGGACATTAGGCAACAAAAGATCATGTCCCTGAGAGATAAGGAAAAAAGTTGTAAGCCATGTAATTGTTCCAACTTATTGCTCTGAGAGAGTTTCCAGATTATGGCTCAGGGAGTAGAAAACTAGAAGCTTGATGGACTCAACGTACACAAAAGGATCTGAACTGAGAGTCTGGGGAGACTCAGAAGGAGGAAGTTAAAAGGCACAGTACTGAAGAGGTGAGAATTGTACAGCGGCACAACTGTGGAGATCTGAAGTGGGTTCTTATCTATTCAGAAGAGAACTAATCAGAACACGAATGTGAAGAAACTACTCTAGGCCTGGAAAAGAACCACTTGTGAGAACTAGAGAAAACAATACTGAGGCTTACACAAAGCCAGGAATAGGAACTGTTCCCACTATCCAAACTGGAAAATGTCACAGTTCTCCTGGGATTGGGTAGAGCATGCAGAAGAATCTTGCTTCAGCAGTGAGTGACAATTAGCTCTAGACCAAACACTGCTTTCATTCCACCTATTTTAAAAGCAGGAACCAAAAGGATGAAACAAATTTCAGGTAACTTAGTTATGTCCCCAGAAGACAAATCAAGAATATTTATAAGTATACATAAATTCAGCACTCAACAAGGCAACATTTACAATGTTGGGAATATAATAAAACTTACTCAACATGACAGGAAGCAGAAAAATTAGATTAATAATGAAGATAAAAATCAATACATTGAAATAAACACAAGCTAACACAGATGCTAAAATTAGCAGGAAAAATATTAAAATAATTATTATAACTGTATTCCATATGCTTAAAACGCTAGATGAAAGAGCAAACATACGAGATATATACATTGAAGATATTTTAAAAAACACAAATTAAAACTTCTAGTGATGTAAACTTTAAAGGTAAACTAAATAGGACTAACAGTAAACATTACAGAAGAAAAGGTTAGTGACCTTAAAGATATGGCAATAAAATGATCTGAAATTAAATAGAGAAAAATTTCAAGAAAAAAAGAGACAAGGGTATCAATCAGCAGTGGGACAACTTTAAGTGGCATTCTGCATGGGTAACTGGACTCTGGGATGAGAGACAAGAGAGTAAGAGAAAGAAATATTTCAAGAAACAATAGCAAACATTTTTCCAAATTTGATTTAACTATGGACTCACAGCTCTAAGAAGCTCAGTGAACTGCAGCACAATATAAAAAAAAAAACTATAGTAAATTATTGTTAAATTGCTCAAGACCTATGATAAAGGACAAAATTTAAAGGCAGCCAAGGGAAAAAGGCACATTACATATAAATGAATAAATAAGAGGGTTACAGTAGGTTTCGTGTCAGAAGCAATGCAAGTAAGATAATAATGGAATAAGCTTGTTATAGTTCAGAGGAAACAAACACACTGCAAAATTCTATTCTCAATAAAAATATCTTCCAAATGAAGGTGAGTTTTCTAGAAACTCAAAAGAAACTCAGAAGAAAATACTAAAAAATTTGTCCTTCAGTTCAAATGTGCACAAATGAGACCTAATCAATAAGATGTCAAGTACTTACCTGTGTATAATGGCCACAAACTTTGGAACATGATAGACTATCAAAATCATAAAATTCAGTTTCATTATACCAAGAAGTGATGGCAGCGTTTGGTGTAAATATCCTCGTTCCACCTAACCAAATATTTTCTCCAACATATTCAAAAGCTGCATAACATCCATATGATTGATCTAAACAGCTGTTATGTTGAAATATGCACTTGTTTGCCCATGCTTTAGCCATCTTCGCTAAACCTGCATCCCAACTCTGAAAGATAAAATAATTTAAATTCAATTGTGCATATTCGTTTGTATTAAAATTATTTGAATAATCATAACCAATTAAATTTTGTTTAAATATATTATTTTAATAAAATAGTTTTTCTTTGGTATTTTTCATGTTCACAATTAGTTATTTCTTTTTAGTTCTGCTTCAGAAACACTTAATACTCACTCTGTGACAGTTCATTATTGTATTTCCCGTAACTAGCAGATGGCCTGTAACATTGGAGATGCTCAACAAATAAATATTACTGCAATTAAAATAAGTCGGAATTCAAAGTCTAGTAAATCACACAGCCATGCAAATCAATCATAAATAAAGGATGAATATTGATAATTAAAAAGAAAAGCCACAGAATTTATTTAATTTGATCGAGTATCTACAAAAAAATACAACTCTCTATATAAAAATGAAATAGTAAAAGCATTCCCTCAAGATTGGAAATGAAACAAGATGTCTGTCCTCATTCTTCTATTTAACAATCTATAAAAGATTAGGTGTATAATAAAATATAAGAGCTATTGATAACCTGACAAAATATATAAAACATATAAACATTGAAATTATTCATTATTAACAGATGACATAAGTGGATACATTAAAAATTCAAATGAATACATAAACAAAACTGTTAGAAATGAGTTAAATTATCAAATTTTCCAGATATAAGGAAAATATACTAAAATAAATTGTATTTCCGTATATACTCTACAAATGAATAGCATCAAAAATATCTAATATGTATAAATAAATCTAGTAAATGATATACCAGATGGCTATACTGAAAACTATAAAACATCACTAAAAGAAATTTTAAAACATCTAAACAAATGGAGAGATATAAAATGTTCATGGATCAGAAGCTAAAACATTGCAAAGAATGTTATCTTGATACTTATTTCTAACAAGAATCCAAGTAGCTGTTTTGGTGAAAATTGGCTGTAAAATTTATATAGAAATGAACAGGACCAAGTATAGTTAAGATACTTTACTAAAAGTGGAACAAAACTGGAAACTTTCTCTACCAGATATCAAGATTTATTGTAAAGCTACATTAATATAATATTCACTGCTCTTATTCAACGTAGTGCTGGAAGTCTTAGCCAGAGCAATCAGACAAGAGCAACAAATCTAGGGCATCCAAATGGGGACAGAAGAGGTCAAGTTATTGCTCTTTGCTGATGATATGATGTTATATCTAGAAAATCCCAAAGATTCTGCCATGAGACTACTAGAATTGATAAACAAATTCAGCAAAGTCTCAGGTTGCAAAATCAAAGTACAGAAATTAGTAGCATTCCTATACACAAACAACAGTCAAACTGAGAACCAAATCAGAGACTCAATATCCTTCACAATAGCAACAAAGAAAATAAAATATCTAGGAGTATATTTAACTAAGGAGGTAAAAGACCTCTACGGGGAGAACTATGAAACACTGAGGAAGGAAATAGCAGAGGATGTAAACAGGTGGAAAACCATACTATGGTCATGGGTTGGTAGAATTAACATTGTACAGATTCAATGTAATCCCTATTAAAATACCAACATCATTTTTCATAGACCTAGAAAAAATAATTCTATGCTTCATTTGGAATCAGAGAAGACCCCGTATAGCAAAAGCAATCTTAAGCAAAAGGAACAAATTGGATTTGATTAGCTATTCTCATTCCTTTGTATTTCCTTATAAATTTTTTTTTAAAGCCAGTAAATTTTTTTTTTATTTCGGCATATTATGGGGGTACAGATTTTAAGGTTTCAATAAATGCCCATTTCCCCCCTCCCCCCAAAAGTCTGAGTCTCCATCATGATTTCCTTATAAATTTTAGAACAAATTTTTCTCCATCTACAGAAAATGTTACTGGAATTTTGGTAAAAATTGTATTAAACCCTCAGGTCAGTTTGTGGAGAAATAATCTTTACTTAGTTAACTCTTCTAATCCATTAACACAGTACATCTTTTCATTTATTTAGATATTTGATTCCTTTCATTAGCTTTTTATAATTCTCAGCATACAAATTCTATACATATTTTGTTAAATTTATACCTGAGCATTTCTTTTTTGAATGATTTGAAATGATACTGTGATTTTAATTTTTCCATTTTAAGGTTTCCATAAGTTCATTACAAATATACAGAAATATGTGTGGTTTTTGTATGTTGATCTTGTATCCTGTGAATTTGCTGAACACAATAGTTCTATAAGGTTTTGCATATATCCCTTAGAATTTTTACATATAGTATCATGTGCAAGGGGAACTGCTGATTTCTTCCTTTCCCACCTGCACATTTCTTATTGCTTTCTCTTTTTTTCCTTGTCATATTGGCCAAGACTTTCAGTACCATGTGGAATAAGAGTGGTAAGAGTATGCATCCTAGCCTTCTTCCCTTTCTTAAAGACAAAGGATGCATCATACTCCATTAACTATAATTTTAGCTGTAGGCTTTTTGTAGATGCTGTTTATCAAGTTGACAAAATGTTTGTCTCCGTTAAGAGATTTTATTGACCAGGTATCAGATTTTGTCAAATGCTTTTTCTCTATCAATTTCTATTCTTATCTTCATGATATAATCATGCAGATAGTTCTTTAGCTTGCTAACATAGTCAATTATATTAATTTATTTTCTAATGTTGTAGTTGTACCAGCCTTACATCCTGGATAAACCCCACTTGATCATGGCATATCAATTTTTAAAGATATGGTTAGATTTGATTTGCTAATATTCTCTGGGCATTTTTGTGTCTACATTCATGACAGATATTGGTCTGTAGTTGTCCATTCTTACACCATATTGACCTGGGTTTGGTATCAGGGTAATACTGGCCTCATAAAGTGTGTTGGGCAGTATTCCTTCCTCTTTTATTTTTTGGTAAAGATTATGTACAATTATCAATTATTCTTTGAACATTTGCTGGAAGTATACAGTGAAGCCAGCTGGGCCTAGAGATTGCTACAAATTAAATTTCTTTAATAGTTACAGGACTACTCAAATTATCTATTCATATTTTGTATGCTTTACTAGTATGTACTTTTCCAGGAATTACTCCATTTCAACTAACTTGTCCAATCTGTGTGTGCAGAGTTATTCATAGTATCTCTCTATTATGCTTTAAATGTCTGAAAGGTCTGTAATACTATTTCCATTTTATTCCTGATATTGGTAATGTATGCCTTCATTTTATTTTTCTTTGTCTGTCTAGCTACAATGTGTTCATTTCATTGATCTTTTCAAACAACAGGATTTTTATTCCACTAATTTTATTATTTTTTCTTTTTATTTTCTTTCATATTATTTTATTTTTAATAAGAGAAAAGCCATACAAATTTATTTTAATGTGTGCACACTGGAAGCCTCAGAAAGGAAGATTCAGCTTCTCAATGAGGTACAGAGGTTTTTTAAGAATGAGAGCTTTTTATTATTATTATTTGAGAATACTATGGGGGGTATAAACATTTTGGTTACATGCATTACTTTTGTACAGTTTGAGTCAAAGTTATAAGGGTGTCCATCCCACAGACAGTGTGCATTGTACCCATTAGATGTGAATGTACCCATCCCCTCCTCCCCCTCCCACCTGCTTGATTTCCATTGAATTTTACTACCATACGTACACATAAGTGTTGATCATTTAGTTCCAACTTAAAAGAAAGTACAAGTGGGGCTTGTTTTTCCATTCTTCTGATACTTCACTTAGGAGGATGGTCTCCATTTTCATCCAGGTTGTTACAAAAGGTATTAGTTCACCACCTTTTTATGACCGAATCACTAATTTTATTCTGTTTTTCTCTTTGCAACCTCGCTGATTTATATTGTTATCTTCATTATTTTCTTCCTTCTGCATGTTTATTTGCTTTTTGTTTATTGGTTGTTTAGGTGGAACTTAGATTATCCATTCAAGATATTTTCTCTTTTCTAATGTAACCATTTAGTGCTATACATTTCCCTTTCTTCACTTCCTTAGTTGCATGATACAGGTTTTGATATATTGTATCACATCTACATTTTTTAAAAATTTCTTTGAGACTTCCTCTTTGGTTCAGGGATTATTTAGAAGTGTGTTTAATTTGCAAATATTAGAAGAGTTTCTTGTTATCTTTGTTCTATAGATTACTAGTTTAATTCCACTGTGTTTTAAGAACACACTCTATATATTCAACTCTCCTAAATGTGTTGAGCTTTTTTTCTGTGGTCTGGGATATGGTTAATCTTGGTGAAAGCACGATAGATGCTTGAAAAGAATGTATATTTTGTAGTTGTTGGATGGAGTGTTCTATAATTTTAATTATATCCTAGGTGGTTCATGGTATTGATCAGTTATTGTATAACCTTGCTGATTTCCTGTGTGATTTTTGAGAGAAGAGAATTGAAATCATCAACTATAATTTAGGAGTTCTCTATTCTGTCCTTCAGTTATATCAATTTTTTTGTTCTATATTTTAAAGGTACCATTGTTGGGGACATGCAAATTTTTTTATTACAATGCCTCTACTACAGTTTGCTTTTTTTTTTTATTATGTAATGCCATTCTCTGTTTCTAGTAATTTTCTTTGCTCTGAAGTCTCCTTTATCTGAAATTGATAAAACCACTCTTGCTTTCTTTGATTAATGCTTGCATGATACATCTTTATCCATTTTTGTGCTTTTAACTATATTATATTTGAAGTGAGTTTCCTGATTGTAGTAGATTATTGGCTTGTGTTTTCTTTAATCCATTCTGCCAATCCCTGTGTTTCAATTGATGTATTTAAACAATTTTCATTTAATGTACTTATCATATATCAGGGCATAAATCTCTCATTTTATTGTTTTGTTTTTGCTCCCTCTATTTTTTTTCATTTCTTTTTTTTATTTTAGCATATTATGGGTGTAGAAATGTTTACATATATTGCCCTTGCCCCACCTGAGTCAGAGATTCAAGCGTGTCCATCCCCTAGACAGTGTGCACTGCACCCATTAGGTGTGTGTGTTATCCATCCCTTCC